ATTGTGTTTGTGTGCACTAAAATTATTTCCCCCCCCCCTAAAAATATCAATTTTATAAACATTTGGGCAAATACCATGCAACATAAAAAAAATCAGCTATCACTTTTATTTTATTTTACAGGGCCTCTGCTTTCAGAAAATGTATAAGGGATGCACCAATATCAATACTATTATCGGTGCCGATACCGAGTATTTGGGCAAGTACTCGTACTCGCCCAAATGCTCTGATGCCGGAACTTCCGGTGAGAGGGAGATCTCTCTCTGACCGGCAGTGCCGAGGGAGTATGGAACCGGCTTCCTTTCCAATCAGGAAGCCGGGCGGTGGGTTATGACCTGCCTCCCGTCTTCTTGATTGGTCAGGAAGCCAGGCTGCATAGGAACAAGTGAAGCCAGCTTCCTAGCCAATCAGGAAGCCGGGTCATGACGTGCCGGCCGGCTCTCTGATTGGATTGGCAAGTGAAGCCTTGACAAGTGAAGCCAGTGTTCTTTTGATAGAACACCGGCTTCCAAGGCAATCAGAACTTCCTGATAATCGGGGCACATGGCACCGGCATCAGCGAGTACGGGAAAAAAAATAACAGTTCTCGTACTAGATACCGAAAAACCGGTATAGGTGCATCCTAAAATATAATTGTTTAAGGATTTAAAGTCATTTTCTATCCATAAATTCCGATTTTAACGTGAAAAATGTAAAAAAGTGGAGCAGTACAAAGATGGTAAAAAAAAGTCTTATTTTCGCAGTAATATGCTGCCCCCCAAAACTGCCCTTTGCTGGTAAAGTCAAAATCGGGCGTCGTTGTCCAATGCTGCCTTTTGCATTTGAGCTCAGTGCTGGGAGGTGAAAAAGTCAAAAGCTAGAACTCCCACTCCCAGAAGTGTCAGGTTCCCAAGAAATTTGCATCACTTTCCACTAAAATAAATATATACATAAGTAAAAATGGAGCTGACAATGCCAAACAATGATAAAATGTTGACTCCATTTAGATACGTGCATTAGGGTAACACACAAAACTGTATGGTGCATTGCAGTGCCATTTATTTTGAACTACACTCCAATTCATATGCATTTTAGCACACCACAATGCATAGTTTGAGAGTTGCGTCTGGAAAAATGGTGCAGGTTCCGAAACCCTGTATTGTGGCGCACAAGCAACTTATTCAAAATGCCTTACCGCAACGCATGTAAAACCTTAAAATACCCAATATTAGGTAACAGACCATTGTATGTAGACACTAAACTTGGGGGAATACCAAATACTAATGGAAAGAGCGACAATAGACATATGTAAGCAATGTTTGCCTAATTGATACATTCTTGCCAAGAAGGCAAGACCCCTGTTATGTACCAAACACGCCACGGCTGTTACAAAACGAACACTGGACAACAAAAACAAAATTGACGTACAGTAATACCTTGGTTTACGAGCATAATTCGTTCCGGAAGCATGCTTGTAATCCAAAGCGCTTGTATATCAAAGCGAATTTCCCCATAGGAAATAATGGAAATTCAGATGATTCGTTCCACATCCCAAAAATATTCATATAAAATGATTACAATACTGTACTGTAATATAATACTGTACAAAATATAAAGAAAAATAAACCAATTACCGGTACCTTTTGTGGCCGGTGTGAGAGGGACAAGAGAGAGGAGGATTATTGTGTAGGACAACTTTCACTATCACTAACGGAATCACTGCTATCTCTTGACTCAATGGAATCTTTTTCATTTCGTGAAACCTTAACAAGGAATCTGTCCAATGTGACATTGCGTTGTCGTTAAACAGACTCATCGCTCGCACTGCTTCAGCCTTATTCGGTGGTGCTTTTCTACAAAATTTTGCTCTTCTTGCAAGACATTTGCTTGTATATCAAAGCAAAATTTTTCAGAAATGTTTGCTTGTCTTGCAAAACGCTCTCAAACCAAGTTACTTGTAAACCAAGGTATTACTGTATATTCTTCCATGACACACTGCAATCCTCAGAGCTAGATATCTACAAGATAATAATTAACACCTAACCACTGAACCATTACGTTCTCAAACAATTCATCCCCATGGTGCAGCCACTTCAAGAGGCCCACATTAATGATATCATCAGCTATAATGTTACTCAAGGCCCACGAAAGTGAGCAAGGTAAACGCCAGTGGTACAAAGCCTGTGTAGTGAGCGGAGCTGTGGAAGGGGCCCAGCAAACTACAGGAGCGGGCGGAGACAAGTCCACTCACTCTGCACATAGAGAGAGAGCAGCAGTGACCGGCCTTTATTAAGCTCCAAGTTTCACACTGGATTATTGCACAGATCTGGAAGAATTACACAAAGCTCACCAAGATTCAAGTAAGAATGCACATGACTCCTGTAACTGCACAACATTCACTTATCCTGGAGTTCAGCTTCAGACAAGTTCACTAGACAACTTTTCAAGATATAACACTACGGTATGTGACCCAAGGCTGCCTAGCTGCAGTCCCATGTTCATTATCACAGGCAAATCGAATGCAAACACTTTCCATAGCCTGTAGTTTCTGAATATTTGCAGAGCCAAGCCACAGGTTCAATGTCGCACTCTCCTCGGCCACTATATATAACCCCCCCCCGCCCCTTTCACTGCTCCATCAGAGACACCTGTCACCTGACCGTGCTGACCAACGAGTGCTCGCAATTTGCGAGCGAAATTCAGAATACACAGCACAGGTACAGATAATACACCCGTACTGGCGTTTTTCGCAACACGCACCGTGCGGTGTTTTCTATTGCGATTTTTTGCGATTGCACGGGTGGTATTGCGGCGGGAACCCGCACAATCTGCCTGGCGCGTCTGGAGTGCCATTAGAAAATGATGGCACTGCCAGCGCGATCAGCGGTGGTGTGCGATTCCGTGATCAACCGGCCATCCGCGTGGTTACGTGCACAATTGCCACACGGTCATGGATCGCCCTCTCCGCTGATTTTTACATTTTTATGTATTTATATTTTTTGACAGTTTTTTTTCACTTAACTTTATTGCCATCACACAGGAGCTAACAAGCCCCTGTGTGATAGCATTTGGAGGTGACAGGTTCTCTTTATGGACTCTGTCACCTCCAATACATGAGTTCTAGTACAGCAATGTGTTCGATCTCCTGTGACAGGAAGGCAGCACTCCTGTGTCAGTTCTCTCACGGAGTGGAGCAGAGAACGGACGTTTTCTGCTCTGCTCCCCATCCTGATCTAGTTTGCCAGGGGACCCCGAAGACCACATTGGGGTGGGAGCCAGCGACTGAGGACACGGGCGGAGGGCAGTGGCTCGAGAGAGAGATGGGAGGGAAGGAAGAGAGAGGGGAATGAGTGAGGGGAGTGGATCATCAGGCTGCTTACAAGTGATCTTGGATGGCTGTGCAGCCGCTCAAGATCACTTGTACAAAACGGCTCCCAGACTACATTTATCCCTGCTGTCTGCCCAAAGCAGGACTAAATGTAGAAAAAAAAACTACTCGCCCGCCACTGCATGTCCCGGGCGTTGGGCGATAGGAATTCCACACCCCGGAGGGCAAAGTGAAAGAATACTCGGCCCTTCCAAAGACTGTGCAATCACATTGTACGGTGTGTGGTCATCTTCAGGCAATCTCTGACAGAGAACTTGTTGCTCGGTTTATCTTTGGCTGGACACACAATACAAGAGAGCTATTTGCAGATGCCTGGGGCAGTCAAATCGTGTCTGTGTATGGATATGTTGAGTTGTAAGCAGCTGCTTATAATTTAACTCCCCCCCTCACTGCTCTGATCAGCTGGGGAAGGGACTTGCCCAGTACTACTGGGAGGTCATGTGACCAGGCACTATCAAATCATGGGGGCAGGGAGAGTCCTCAGCCCTATGTAAGTGCCAACCTCGCACAGTGGAAGTGATTGTTTTATAACATAAACCATTATTATTACCTTCTGTAGACTAGTTTCCCGATGGTCACATGACTGCTTGCCCGGTCCCTCTAGCTGAGCTGGTTGATGTGACCCCTTATGAGCTCGTCACTTCCAACTGTTGGTTATGTGTTCAGATGAAGCACTGAGATCTTTAGGACATTACATGTATGAATAAAGGAATACAGAGAGGAAAACATATACAGGCAGTCCCCGGGTTACATACAAGTTAGGGACTTTAGGTTTGTACTTAAGTTGAATTTGTATGCAAGTCGGAACAGGTACATTTTTTAAGTGTAACTCCAGCCAAAAAAACATTATTTAGTTTTGGATAGCATAGGGAAGGGTCACGTTTGTTTTGCTGTTCCCCTTGTTCAGAAGATTATAATATAATAAAAAAAAGTTTCTATTTGTAATTTTATTTTATAAACTTTATTTTTTTTGTTTGCATTTTTAATTTTTATTATTTAACTTTTTTTTACATTTGTCTTTTAAAACTTTTTTTTATTATTATTTTAATGCTGGGAGCCATACCTAGCCTGCTATTGGATATTGTAAAATGCAATAGACAATAGCAAGCTGGCTATTGCACCCGCCCATTGTCTGCTGTCAATCAGCAGAGGAGGGGCCTGAACGAGAAAGTTCGAAGGAAAAATGTACCGGCGGCTGCACATTTAGGAATAACTGTGGACCCCGTTCGTAAGTACGGATTGTCCGTAAGTCGGGACGACCGTAACCCGGGGACTGCCTGTATACAGATAGAAATTCTCACAATGTGCATTAAAAGCTGTATCACGTCAGACAGAGCCCGTCTTATGTCCTGGCTGGAAGACATCCAGCATCATCTAGCTCTATCCTCCCCAACCTGACTTTCCCTGGTCTGCCCCCTTCAAATCTATCAATCATGGAGGCTCAGCATCACATGTGGGTGTTACTGGGGAGGAGGAACCAGAGAAGAAATAAAAGCAGATTAAACTTCAGCATTGTCTTGCAATTACCAGGAAATAAAATAATAAGGGAACACCATGACTGGATTCACATAGGACTCTCAGGAAGGAAATGATCATCCAATTAATAAAACCCAGCCACAGGTGTGCTGCACTCACCTGGTCACAATGACAGCAGGCAGGATCACTGTACACCCCTCCGCCGTCTTCCCTTCTCTACCATAGCCGGTGTTACCGGAAGTATCGGCAGCCCCGGCCGTAGCAGCTCTCCGCGTCCCCGCAGTGTCGTATTGGGAAAGCAGATCCTCGCCTGCTATTGGACGGCTACCTAGTGCTGAAACTACCTAAGCGGCTCTCCTGGAGGACGATAGCCGCGAGGAGTCAGTAATAGAGCAAGCGCAAAGCTGGTTAATGTTTTGCCACACCTAGGTGACGGAAGAGCGCTGCGTTACCATCTTGCTACACCCACGCAGCCGAGTTAGCGAAGACGAGTCGGCCATATTGCTACACCCACACATAATAGGAGTTGGCCATGTTGCTACACCCACACAGTCAGAGGTTGGGAAAAATAAACGAAGGTCGGCCATATTGCTACACTCATTTGTAGAATTACAGGTGGTCACGGTTTATAAAAAGTTACTGTTTATAAATAGGCAGCTTGTGGGAGGAGTGCAGTTAGTAAATACCATTCGGTGGCTCTCTTATCTCTGTCCGCAGTGGTTTTGTAATGAGAAATATGGGGGCCATTATTTGCTTCTAAAAATGCAGGTTGCTTGCCTGTTAGGCCGGTGATCGATCAAAACTACGAACTTATCGAGTTGTGCCGGCTTCTCCGAATGTAGATGCGGACCAATGACTTAGCTGATGTGATTAAAGAAGAACTCCAGGGTTTAAAGAAATTAACCCTTGCAGTGGGGCTACCCTTGCACTGCAAGGGCTAAATGCACATTTTATCTAGGGGGTGAAAATATACTCACCCAATCCACAGTCTCATCTTGCTGCTAGACCGTTCCCTGCAGCCTCTTCTTCCCTGGGCTCCCGCGGTCTAAGGACCAGTGATGTGAGGACGCCACGGGACATACAACACCTGGAGCGGAGGGGGAGAAAGGTGACCGGTCACTGTTGCAGAACCGAGGATCAGGTGAATATTTCTTTATTTTTCACCCTAAGAGAAAAAGGAGCAGTTAACCTTTGCAATGCAGGGGTAGCCCCACTGCATGGGTTAATTTTTTTTTTTTTTTTTAATCTTGGAGTTGTTCTTCAAAGCAGAACCTGGGGATGCAAATAAAAATCAGCTATGTAAATATAAAATCTGTAAATCTCACCGATTATCTGGCAATTCTAATGAAATATCTGTGATGTCATCATTGCAATTCATAAAAAACAGCTTCAGCGGGGCGCCCAGAGGAGCTTTAATGGAGGCAGTTACGTCGCATCAGCTCTTCTCCTAGTTCTGCTATGTTAAACTACAGTTCCCATGATTCCCATGAAGCGGTGATTTAATGACATTAAAGCGAGTAGGAGTGTGTGTCCATTGGGCTAGGTCAAAAGATGGGGTTAGAATTAGAAGTTGAGAGACGGCCAGGGTGTTAGTATTGTTAGGGACAGTAAAGTGAAGAGTTTGGAGAAGTGAACAATCTAGGACAACATAGCTGATTTGGAAAGTGAGCTGAATTGGAAAATGTTTCCAAATCAGCTATGTTGTCCTAGATTGTTCACTTCTCCTGTCTTCTCCAAACCCTTCACCCTTTTGTGAACAACCCTGTTTGTCTTTTCCTTGGATCCCCTGGTATGGAAGAAAAGAGGAGTGTATTCTGCTGTGGAGGAAGAAAATTAAGTGAACCTCTATCTCTATACTGCATGGGCATGTTAAAGACTGCATACGAGTGAAATTGTGTATTTGCCCAGCAGGTGGCAGGGCTTCACCACTCTTAAGTCATGTTAACCGTGAGAAGTATTGTAGCTCTACTACAGCAGACAGGCACATAGCAAGGTGCTGACACTGATCAGCCCATGTCTGCAGCTGGCAGGAGTGGTGTCGTATTTTAGTGATCCTAAATGTAGGCAGAATTTTGCAGGGAATGTTCTTGTACATCCAATGCTAATCTTAATGCCCCAGAGGACTTAGTTTTCTCATATGATGTATTGACATACTGGGACCCCTTTGGTCTTCTCCTAGTGGCTTTTTGTCCTGGATGATGCAGAAAGCATCGCTGACGTGATGAAATCAGCACCGCTCTCTCCGACAATACAATACATTGTGAGTGCAAAACACCATTCTAAGGGGGCAGGGCCAAGGCACTCTGCAGTCACAGTCTTTCCTCAATCTTAGAATGGTGCTGAGCAACATTTACCCTGAGAGACTTAGAACATCTTGTGGTGAAGAAAAGCTACAGCGTGGGACAGCTGCGAAGTAAAGGAGACTATTGCAGCCAGGAGCTGTGCTGAGAGAAATGTGGAGGTGGTATTTGTTGCTCCTCCATTTCTGAAAATGCTAAGTGTTTGGCATTCACACTGGTAAAATGGCTTCAGCTCATCTACAAGGCTAACCCATAACAAGCATACACTGTAGATGAACTGTGACATTACTGGTTACCTACCATACTGATTCAAATGTACAGTGTCCAAAGGAATGTGTGAATTGTCAGTGCTATATAAATGGCTGTAATAAATAATACATCTTAAAGTATTTCTAAACTTAGGTGCAGTAAATATTGGGTGAATATCATAATCACTACTTTATAAATATGTCCCTAAAAGGTATGATACTGTAATTTGTCATTCAGAGGTGTCCCATCGCACTCCAAACCAACATATCCTTATGTGTAGCTTAAATGGGTGCTGAAATGGCCAATGGATGGCGCTGTAAGACTAAAGGAGATTATGAGGTCACCAGCACACCAAGTCCACTTCATCGATCCGTCTGTTATTGATGTTTAGATAAACATGGTGTCACAAGCAAATGCAACATTTTGGAACCACATGCGGTCCCCTTATGAGACAAAACAATGTGACTACGTTGTTTTGCCTCATGATGGGACCACATGTGGTTCAGAAACGTGTATTTGCTTGTGACACCATATTTATCTAAACGTCAAAAGAAGACGGAACGATGAAGTGGACCTTAGTGTGTTGGTGACCTTATTATCTACTGTAATTTGTCAGTCTACCATTTTGCGGTAGATGCTGGAGAATTAAACCTCCTGACATTTTTTAATACATCACAGGGACTCTATTGGTGAGATTTTTGCACTTGAGTCAGTATGATAGCGTCTAAATGTCCTTCTTAAATGTTTTATTTATTTTATATTCTGTAGAATTCAACGGATGGCGCTGGAAGATACAAGGTTGGCAGAAACACATAAAACTCCCAGGCAGACAGGAACAGAATTGGGAATTATGGCAAGACGACCTTACTTAAAAAACTTAAAAGGGTGCCAAGAAAGCATTAGCAATATGGAGCACATTCTCGCAGCATCTTGAGCACCAAGCTTTCCCTGAAAGTAGCGGTAAGGAACAGAGATGACACTGCTGCCTCCAGAAAGTGGGACCTAAGGTCGGTAGATCTAAATGTATTCTTCTAATGCTGTTTTCTGGCTTCCTTTTTAAAGTTGTTTTTTTTCTTGGAGATAGTGACTAAAACAGACAATGTCTGACAAATGAGTGTTGCCCAAATGATCAAGTTTGTTTTACTCTTTCTTCATTACCTCAAAAACAAAAAGGGATTTAGTTGCCAATCTAACTTGGGAAGTCTATACTCAACCGTCAGCAAATGTGCTTCCTTTCTATAAAACATATCCTTTAAAGAGACACTGCCACCTTGCTAATTCAGCGCAAAGTGCCAGTGCTTTTGTAAAGAGCCCCCATCCAGTTCCCACCAAGATATACTCACTTTACCTTGTGTTATGGGAGAGCATGTGACCAGCTACCATGTGACAGTTCTTGGGTCTAGCTGCCATTTGCTAAGCCCAAGAACCGTTAAATAACATAGAGCAGTCTTTCTCAACCTTTTTACTCCAGAGGAACCATTGAAATATTTTTTGGGTTCTAAAGGAACCCCTGTGGAAACCAATATATTGGACGTCAGGGGGAAAATGCCCCTTACATTGGTGACCAATGAGAAGACTGCCCCCTTACAGTGGTGGTTAGTGTACCACCCTTATAGACAGCTAAGAAGATCATTAGTGTCATGCAGCTGGCTCCACCAAGTGGCTATGCAGGCACCATCAAAAGGGAGGTCAATCAGCTACAGATAAAGGAACCATTAGCAACTTCTGGAGGAACCCTAGGGTTCCACATAGCACTGGTGAGAATGGTTGATGTAGGGGGAAGCTTCCCCTAGCCCCAGACACCAGGTATTACCTCTGATTTCAGTGCAGGCTGTGGCAGAGGCAGGAGATATAAGGGAAAATTTTTAAGGTGACAATACCTTTTCAAACACACTGTCACTTTGTTCTACATGGATAGTTGACAGTGTCCCTTTAAGGTAACCCCCCTCCCACAGCACTCCCCAAAAGTATTTTCTGTACATGCTCCTGTCAAATTCATGCTGTGTGGCCTACCAATGCAAAATCTCCAAGCCAGTCTCTCTCATTCATTCTTATGATGGGACCATTAATTAGATCAGTTCTAGTCACAACATATACTATCCTGATACTATCCTGTTATAACACCAGCTTTGTAATAAGAATACATACTATAGTTGATTTTAATAATGCAATCAAAGCTTACTTGAAACATCTCTTATCAACTTCTTGCACTCCCAATTTACTTTGCGTCTCATTCCCTGTGACTTGATGTGATGCAATCTCAATTTCTCAGGACTACATATCTCATCATGGATTACTTCCAGCAAGCAATGACGATGTTACATTGTGGAACGTTCAGACATTGAGATGTAGTTTGGCTTAGTTAGAGCGGTGACACAAGAAAGTGCATATTAACAGGGCTGGGTGAAATTGTGTCACTGCACTGAGGATGTACATCCTATGGGCATCTTCAATACGTTTATAAACGTCTAGATCAATATGGGTATTAGGAGTGGGATAGAACTTCAATATAAAAATATGGAAATTCAATATAGAAATACAGATTTATTTTTAGTTTTTGAACATGGATACCCGTTAAATTATTTTCTTATTTGGTTTTTATTTATGGCATGAGAAGGGACTAGATCACTGAATGTTGTTTGGAATTACTGACGTGCTGTACTGATTCACCTGAAATGTGCTTTGTAATGAGAGGTTCACGTTAAAGAGATTTTATCACTCCTCCTATTTACACTTACTGGCATTAGGAGAGAGAGTAGTAATTTGCCTTTCCAGTCGATGAGTAATTATTTGGAAGGTCATCTAATATCATATCATATAATAGTCTTGACTGAGA